TTACAGCAGTAAATACTGGAATACAGAGTAGAACAATTATCTGCATTAGAAACAACAAGCAAAGAATAAATAATTTATTCTAAGAAAAAATCCACAATTAAGGCAACAGGATTACAACTTTATATACGCCTATATGACAGTTTTGGGGACTTTGGATTGTTTGTTTTGCATCAGCATTTCCTCAGAGCTCTGACTTAATAATTATCATCATGAAGCTCTGGTAGCTCTGAGGAACTGGAGATATGTCCACCTGAAACAAGTATAGGCCTACAGGTCTTTATTTTTCAGATTATTCCCACAAACGCATCTCCTGCTTTCTTTCATGGCATGATTAATTTTATTAAAACATAGAATTAACTCTGGAAAGATAGTTGTGATATGACGTGACATAAGGGCAGCCCTGCTAGTAGTTACACCGTGTCCCTTAATCATGAAGATTATTTTTTCTTTATATCGGCCACGCTCACTCACGAACTGACTGAACGCTGTGTTGATGTGTGTGTGCATGCGACCAGTCGCGTGTGATGATCGTTTGACAAAAGTCTGGATGTCATATTTGGCGCGCGCACCCTCGCGCAGCGGCACTGCAGGAGAGCGTGAGACGCGTCTGTGGTCTGGATTCTCCTGCTATTAAAAAAGTTCGCTATATCATCACATTAAGTTGATAATTAAGGGCAGACTAAAACAGCCCTCAGTCCGACGGCCAGTCCGCGAGTTTAATCTCCGCGTGTCTTCTTGTTTACAGTGTTGTCATTCAAGAGGATTCACGAATGGACCAATGGGCAAACACTAGACTATGTGCAGGTAGTACTCATGGGAGTTGTAGTGTCGTAGTGTCAAATTGCAATTTGTTTGTTATGTCAGATGTCTATTGACAAGACTACAATTTTTCAACACGCCAAAGTGGCTAGTGGGAGCGACTGTGTTACCCGCCACGAGTGAAATCCACCCGCATTTGGCGGGTTGGCGGGTGTTAATGTCAAGCCCTGGCTTTAAAGATTTAGCATCAGCCAATGAGATTGCGCATTCAGAGTTAAATCCCCCCCTTTTACTTTCACGATTGGTTGCTGATAAAAAGGAAATGACTATATTTGTATCCGACAGCATTGTACAGCAGATAGAGAGCTTTAAGCGGTGTGTGTGATGATGACAGGGTGCAGAGTGCAGACAGCGATCGCGGAGCAGCGGGATGATTTATATCGCCAACTTTTGATGAATTTATGAGAAATCTACAGACGCAAACAGACAGTGTTGTAAGATAAAGACCTAAATGTGTATTTCGGACTTTTTTTTACCACAAGTCTGAAAGAAGACAAATACCCCAAAATCTCAAAATTGACCAGTAAAAAAATGATGTTTTTGCCTGCCGTGTCTCGCCTTAATTATATTTAATATTTTGCTTGTGAATAGGTTGACATGCTAATCATTAGGCATATCTTTCTTTACCTGTTGCCACTTGTGTTGTCCTCTTGTAAATAAATCTGTAAGTTTGGCAGCATCCTCCTCATACCTTTCTTTTTTTTGAACCTGGCTTTTTCAGCCCCTCCTGGCCTCTTCGTCCCATCCATCCTCCCTGACGCATACAGTAACGGTAGGGCCCCAGCTATCGGTAGCCTATACTACCTGAGAAAACGTTTTGAAAAAGACGGGCTATATGGACCCAACCAACTCTATTTGGAAGAGGAGGGGAGAATTCCCTTACATGGTACAACCCATGCAGAGGCTGCGCGCTGCGGTGTTAGAATGTGGAACGTGTGTAGCCTTTAAGAGAAGATAGACAACGTGACAAATGTAAAAAAATAAAATAAAATAAATCCTCGACCGGCCCAAAAGTGAAGCGGCCCACCGGGAATTGTCCCGATTCTCCTGATTACCCACTCCGGGCCTGGACTAGTCCAAGCAGTTTGTGGCACTGGCCACTGGTCTGACCTCTTGAGTGAGACTGTTCGTCGTCAGCAGAGGTCACTACAGTAGCTACTAATCTGAAAAGGAGGTTTGCTGTGAAAATATTCGGTCGACACTAGCCTGGTTAAAACCAGACCATTCTCAGTTGTAACTTTCAGAGCAAATCTAAATTTGCCGGAAGTTGTCTGGGTTTTCCCAGGCTAGGTCGACACAAAGTTAGTGTGACCAGCATAAATGTTTTTCTCGTTTTAACCAATAAATTTACATATTTTTCATGTCTTGCACATGCTGACATGCTCGTTCATGATTTACTGGATTTAAAAAAAAATGCTCACAATTTATAATTAAAATATTTTAGAGCTTGGCAAAACATGAAAAAATTGTATATTCATTATTAAAATGCATATGAGTAATGAAGTTTTAAGATTTTATTAATTCACATTACTTTTCCAGGTCTAGAAATCACACCAAAAGCTATATATCCAGGTTTTCCAAGGCTGTAAGAATTGTGGTTTTTCAAGAATAAAAGTCATTGAGGGGGTGAATTAAAATATGAATTATATATTTTTTTTCTCCATACTATGGAAGTCAGTGGGGCCCATCAAATGTTTGGTTACCCATATTCTTCAAAATATCTTCTTTTGTGTTCAGCAAAGGAAGAAAAATTCATACAGATTTGGAACAATTTACGGGTGAGATGACAGAATTTTTTTTTTTTTGAACTTTCCCTTTAACTTCTGTATTTTTTACTTGGAGACCATGGTGAATTTCTGTCAGAACTCTGCGTTTCTATTGACTGGCCTCTAGAGGGCGTTGCACAGTCCATCTGCATCGCCATGCTAGTAGGAGGAGGAGGGTATGGTGGATCCTTGAACGCCTGCAAACGTTTCCTGATCTTGGGATTCGGCAACTGTGAGTCACTGTTTCCCTAGCTGAGTCTTTTGCCTAAACATTTAATCTTTTTGGTTACACTAGTCCATAGCAACGGCTTTTGTGGGGTGTTTATGAATAGAACGATTTGTATGTTCATTCTCAATGCATGACTCAACAGTTTTAATAACCTGTAATTTTACTTAAATAGCCTATATCCCAGGGAATTATCTTCTTTAGTCCCGAATTAGTCGTTTGGACTGCAGTAGAAAATGTTTTATGTGTTATGTAATATCTTGAATTAATTAAAGGTTAGGTTTAACTAATCACAATTCCTTGATGACTTTTTAATGTAATCTGAAAATTATATGAATGAATGCTATGTCATTTTAAGAAAGTATTAGCAGTGTAATTTGCCCCAAGTAAGTGTGTCTGAGTTCCATGTTGTGTCATGTCTTGGAATTTGCTGCATGTGTCCCAATTCTCCACCCTTTGGCTTCATGAGTCATGTTCTTACAGAAGTGTAAACCCCATCTAATCTGCCCCTGCAAAAATTCAACATAATCCGACAAAATTTGCAGGTTTTCCCTCAAAATCATCGCAGAAAATGCATCAAACTCTAAAGATTTCACCTGGGCCTACTCAAGACATGATCTCTCGTCAGTTCCCACAGATTTTTGAGATGGCGCTCACTCAGGGTGGAGAGACATTTACCCTGGGGAATCTCATTGTTATATTGGAATGCGGTGGTTGTGTGTGATAATGCAATGAAGATGGCAGAGAAAGAGAGTCTATGAGAAAAGAAAGTGCAGAACAGACAGGCTCATCCTGCAGAATTACACAACTGTCTGTGTTCTAGGTGTCAAGTGTCTCTCATAGACTGTAGGTACTGGCATCTACTGGGACTTTTCCACTGATCCGCCCATGCGCTTATGCCAGGAGTGTCTGCGTTTTTCCCTTAGCTTTTTTTCCTCATGGCACTGTTTCCAGAAGTGTCTCTGTGCACATAGTGATTCAAATAAATATGGCTTTTATTTATTTATTTGATATATATATATATATATATATATATATATATATATATATATATATATATATATTAGCTTATACTTTTTGTAATTTTAATACTTCAACTTAAACTTTGACCCCCGGATTCACAGACAAGGCTTAACCCTAGTCATGGACTGAAATGCATGTTTGAGCTATTTTAACTAAAAGCAACTTGCACTGACATATCTTAAAATATGTCAGTGCTATTGTTTTGTATCAAAATGCACACCAGTAGACCTAATCCTGGCTTAATCTAAGCCCCATCTCTGAAACTAGGTCTGAAATATTTAAGTTTTGTTTTTAAGTTTAAATTCAGTTAGTTGCAAGGTTAGTTAGTTAGTTCAACAAGTTTTTTTAAGTTCAAGTTTTTCATCTAATATTTATATTTCAGATTTATATTAATTATAAAAAAATAAGATTGTTTTTGTTTTAATTTTAGTGTACAATAACAACACTGATGTGCAGTTTTGATCCTGAACTCTAATATGCACCACAGGGAGTTGATGGGAGGTGACTAGTTAGAAGTTTTTAAGTGAATTGAAGCACAGCCTTCTTTTCCAAAAAGGATTCGTCTCATCCACTCTCTCTCCCTCCTTTTACTAAGACACCTGATTGGATCATTTATTTTTCGTATGTCCACCCCTCCGAAATAAATACCAGGCAGTTACCAGTTGTATACAGGGCTGTTTTCTTTGACCTTCCTTCCTCTTTAAAGCTTCTTGCAGCAACAAATGGATGTATTCTGGATTTCTAGGAAGAAAGAATGAGGGATATTTTTCTTAGGCTCATGCGTTTGGACGAGTAGCTCTTCGGAGAGCTCTTCGGACTAACATTCATTATGTGGGAATATTGATTCTTTTTTTTTCTTTTTTTTTTGAATTTGAATTAATTTCTATATTTATTTTCAATTAATTTCTACTTTTTTTTAAACATTGTTTTATTCTATTCTGTTTTTTTATTTAGTTTTAATTTATTTTGCTGTGGATTAGTCATTATCATGGTCATTATCAAGAAAGGGATTTAATTGACTGTTGTTCAAACTGCTCACCTCACAAGTTACAGATTGTATAATAAAATAAGCCGTGACAATTCTGTAACCACGTGAGAGATACAGTTAAAGCTCTATTCCCTTGTGTGTTCTCACTGAGTCAGACTTCACTAGCTCCGCCCTCACTTGCTCTCCTCCTCCTCCTCCTCCTCTCTCGTCCCTAAGAGGCGTGAGTTTCTGCCAGAGTCAGAACAGACACTCTCTCTACAGAGTTTCAACGGGACACAGCAGCTGTAGGAGCCTTCGCTAACCCAAACTCTCTCTCTCTGCTTTACCAGGTCAGTGATTCAGGCATTATGACTTGCAGTTCTGCTGATTGTGAATGGACCCAAATACTGTATATATTTTGTATATATCATTTGTGTTTTTTCATAGCTTTTTTAATAGCATTGTACAGTAAAAGACCTGTTACTGCTGAAAGTGTGTTGAGGGGGAGTGTCACATGTGCTGCCTAAGCACATTGTAATGTTTGGAATTACTTCCTCCGTCCAAAACAAACATGTGCTCAGAGCTCCTGTGAATGGGACTTTGACATGCGTATCTGTGCAAGTCGTCTTTAAAGTGTGTCAAAGAGTGTGTCTGGATAGTTTGTCCAAGATAAGTTACAGTGAATGTTAAAACCCATCTGAGGTTTAGATCTTAACCAGATTAGTCTGTGCTTGAGATTTGAACTAAATGTTTATTCTGGGAAGTTTGTGCTGAATATATTTGGATGTGATCAGAGATTGGGCGTGGCGGAAACTGTAAGACAGAAAGTGAGGGAGAAGGTTGGTGGGTGGGTGGGTGGGTGGGTGGGGAGGGAGGATACATGAGAGGGATGGAGTTAATAATTTATTTGTATTTTTTTATATACCCATAAATAAATTGCACTGCAGTATCAGTTTCAAACTGTCATACTGTGAATATAAGAGATAACTGAACGTATCACCTCTGAATCATGTCTCTCCTCATTCTATCCTACTCTATGTCCTGTACAGTTTCAGGCTAGCAGCAGTAGTTTCAATCAGCAATGGAGACTCCAAGTCAGAAACGAAGCAGCCGTGGAGGGGTGACCAACGTCCTGTCCCCCACCCGCATCTCTCGGCTACAGGAGAAAGATGATCTGTGCAACCTGAACGACCGTCTGGCAATCTACATCGATAAGGTGCGCTCTCTGGAGACGGAGAACGCAGGTCTGCGTATGCGCATCACCGAGTCTGAGACGGAGATCAGTCGGGAGCTGGGCGGCATGAAAGCGGCGTACGAGGCCGAGCTGGCGGATGCCAGGAAGACTCTGGACTCGGTGGCCAGAGAACGAGCCAGACTGCAACTGGAGCTCAGCAAGGTGCGCGAGGACTACAAGGAGCTGAAGGCCAGGTATGTGTGCAGATTATGGTTTATACGTCATGCATGTCGTACCAAATCCATGTGAGTTCATCTGCACTTTTTCAAGTTTTAAAGCACCCTTCATTTTTTGAGCGAGCAAGTCCTTTAATCCTGGAAACCAGTGCAAATCCAGTGAGTAACTCTTGAGTTTGGTGTTATAGCAGTAGCAATTACTATGACTCATTCCATCCAGAAACTTGCAGTAATTCCACCAGGTTTAGTTTCTGAACAGTGCGGCTTACAGTCCATGAAACCGTGACACCAAAGAGCTGCAGACACTGGCTAATATGAGGGCTTGCCATGTTTTCCTTTCTGAAATCTTTCACACATCCAGGAGATAAGTTTAACCCTGAAGAGCAGAACGGGCCCGACCCCTGGGCTCTCAGACTAGTCCTCAGCTAAATTTAGCTGAACCATGACGCCAGTTTTCTCCGCTGAACATCTGCTTATTGCTCCTGTCACTAAGGCTGTGTTTGATGTATTTTTAAACTGAATTAAATTTAAACTGAATTAAATTATAATAATGGAATTGAACAGAAAACAAATCAACAGTGTAATGCTGTAGTGTACACAAGACTTTTATGCTCATTAAAGCTGTTTATTTAATCAAAAATACTGCAAAAAAAGGAAAGAAATACGCTGAAATATTGTTACTATTTAAAATAGCTGTTTTCTATTTTAATATATTTTAAAATGTAATTTATTTCTGTTATGTCAATGCTGAATTTTGAGTATGCAGTCTTCTTCAGTGTCACATGATCCTTTAGAAATCATTCTAATATGCTGATTTGGTGCTCAAGAAACATTTCTTCTTATTATTAATGTTGAAAACAGTTATGCTGCCTAATATTTTTGTGGGAACCGTGATGCATTTTTTTTGGATTCTTTAGTGAACGGAAAGATCAAAAGAACAGCATTTTCTGTAACATTATAAATGTCTTTGCTGCCGGCTTCCGGTAATGGCTGCGGACTGATCAGTCGCGTTTTCAACTCTCCCGTTCCAAGTTCCTGTTGTTCTTTATCTACCTTCACCCATCTTTCTCAAAGTCACTATTTAGTTGCTTTATTGCTTCTTTATCATGCCCAAGCCGTCAAAACAGAACAAGCCGGACCATTCCCGAGGTTTTACGGAGGAATGTACTGACTCGAGCGAGGCTAGTGCTAGCAGTAGCCATGCGGTTAGCAATGAGAGCTCGTTACCTGATTTATCACATGGGGCTTTGTTGAAACACATTGCCGAAGTCGTTGCAGAAGAAGGGCGGCACACGCAAAAGATGCTAAATGACTCTTTTGTTAAGCTGGAGTCGGGGCTGGACGTGAAAGTTGATTGCATCATCAAACGCATCGATGAGGTTGCTGCAGCCACCGACTCCCTTGCGACGCGCCAGGATGAAGCAGAAACTCGTATCTCCGTCCTGGAAGATGACATTGCTCCACTTAAAGGGAAATTGGCCGCACTTGAGAAGCTTAACTCGGCACTTACGGAGAAGGTTACGGATCTAGAGGGGCGTTCCAGGCGGGACAATATCAGAATCCTTAACCTCAAGGAATCCGTCGAAGGAAGTGACCCCATACTTTTCTTTGAAACTTTCATTCCAAAGCTGCTTGAGTTGTCAGTCCCGAATATCGCAATTGACCGCGCACACCGAGGGCTCGGTACTCCTTCGGATGGTCGGCCTCGCCCTGTTATTATCAAGATCCATCGTTCTAGAGACGTTGCTACAATTCTGACCGCTGCTAGACGCAAAGGTCAGCTTCAATACGAGGATCAACCTCTCCGTATCGCTCCTGACATTTCGCCTACAGTTCGTGCCGCGAGGAGAGCCTTCAATCCGATCTGCGCTGAGCTTATTAAGAAAGGCATCCGCTTCCAAATGAACTTCCCAGCCGTGTTGGTCTTCAAAGCAAACGGCACGCAGAAAACTTTCAGAGACCCGAAAGACGCCAAAGCCTTTATGGACGGTAATTTGTGAACTCTTTCGGCTTTTCGTTTTACCTGTAACGTTAATGACCCATGCAACGGTTATGTTTATTCTATGATGGGTGTTTGCCAAGGAATGGGAGAGTTTTCACATGTGTATACCGTTATTATCGTGAAGTTTTTGATTCAAGCTGGGATATTGAACAGGTGCATATCTTTTTTCTGTACCTTTAATAATTAATAGATCCTAGTTTTCCATTTGTTTCACAGGAGTTATAGACATGGGTGCGGCCAATCTTCTCCTTGTTCTGTTTTTGTTTTTGTTTTGTTCTAATGTTATGTTTTCAAGCCTGAACCAGAGAAGTTCCTATTTCCTCCCCATCTTTTTCCCCTATGGAAAGTTTGTTTTTCTTGTTTACTGCATAGTTTACCTGGCTATTACTTTTTAAATGATTGATGGTGCCAAGTTGAATATTCTCAGCCTCAACGCAAGGGGCCTGAATAACCCAGTGAAACGAGTTGCTGTTTTGGACTTTTTGCGGAAACAAAGAATTAATATAGCCTTCCTACAAGAGACTCATCTGTTAAAAAGGGATACAAATCGCATGTCTAATCGCCTTTTCCGGGTAATTGCTTGCTCGTCAGCTTTAAACAAATCGAAAGGGGTTGCAATCATATGTCAGCGTAATTTGCGATTTAAGTTGTTGGATACGTGGGCAGATCGCAATGGCAGAATAGCAGTTGCGAAAGTTCATATAGAAAATAGAGATGTTGCCTTCATCTCAATTTATGCCCCTAATACTTTTGAAAAAGAATTTTATGTACAGCTCACTAAGGTACTGCTGGAGCTCTCTGACTTCAAACTCGTAATAGGTGCTGATTTTAATGCTGTTGTTGACTATTCAGTTGATAGATCGGGACACTCCGAAAATGTAGATCAAAAATATGCTTCTGAGGCTTTACGTTCCTGGATTAATGATACTGGAGTGGTGGATCTCTGGCGTGTATTTAATCCTGGTGTTAAAGGCTTCACCCATCTTTCATCAAGACATAAATCTTCCTCTCGAATTGACTTTATTTTTTCTTCTAGAGACTTGTTTTATAATATTGTTACTGTTAACTTATTACCAGTGGCTTTTTCTGACCATAATGCAGTGATTGCTTCTGTGGTGTTAAATTCAAATCCAGCTCGGGCCCCTAGATGGCGTTTTAACGCCTCGCTACTCCGAGATGAAGCATTTAAAACCAAGTTTTCAAGTCAACTATCAGATTTTGTAAATATAAATATAGGCTCTGTGGATGACCCAAGGACAGTCTGGGATGCTGTTAAAGGTTTTATTAGGAATTTTACTGTATGTTATGCCTCCAACATACGGAAAGTTCGTTCATCCAGATTACACAATTTAGAGTCTAAATTATCAGCATTAGATAGCCTATTACAACAAAGCTATGATGAGGAGGTTAGGCTTCAATTTGAACTTGTTAAAAAAGAGATAAATGCTGTTATGAAACAGCGGGCCGAATTTTTAATTCATAGGACGCGACAGTTGTACTATTTTAATGGGGCTAGACCCAGCCGTTTATTAGCCCTTAGATTGCGGTCCAATGAACATTTTGCAGATATCGGCACAATTAAGTCCAAAAATGGTGATATTCTTAGTGAACCCTCTCAAGTCAATGCTACTTTCCGTAGCTTTTACGCTGATTTATATAGCTCTGAGATATCACATAATCAGGATGCTTGTGACAATTTTCTAAACAAAACACTGCTCCCTAAGCTGTCTGAGGAAGACTCTCTAGAATTAAATACCCCCATTACTTTAGTTGAGCTTAAAGAGGCTGCTTTTGATATGTGTAGCGGTAAATCCCCTGGGTTGGATGGAATTCCACCAGAATTTTACACCACGTTCTGGGACAGTCTGGGCCCCCTACTCTTTTATATGATTCAAGCCGCTATTGAGAGAGGGTCCTTTTCCAGAGATGTGAATATTGCAGTCATTACGCTTTTGCTCAAAAAAGACAAGGACCCCAATGATTGTTCAAATTATAGGCCTCTGTCACTTCTAAATGCTGACTTGAAAATTTATGCTAAATTGCTCGCGCGGAGGCTCCAGCCGGCCATGACTAAGCTTGTTAACTGTGACCAGACAGGCTTTATTAGGACTAGATTAGCATCTGATAGTGTTAGGAGGTTACTCCATATAATACATGGGTCATCTTCGTTGACCCCTCCTACCGCGGTCCTTTCCCTAGATGCTATGAAAGCCTTTGATCGTCTGGAATGGCCATATTTGTGGTCTGTGTTGAAGCTCATGGCTTTGGGGTCCTCCTACATTCATATGATCAAGGTGCTGTATGCGAACCCCACAGCCATGGTTTTGACAGGAAAGACTTGTTCTTCACTGTTCAGCATAGCCAGAGGTTCTCGACAGGGATGCCCTCTAAGCCCGCTTCTTTTTGCACTCTCGCTAGAGCCACTGGCCCAGACAATACGCATAGATAAAGGTATCACCCCAATCACAATGTGTGGGACCAACCATCTTATTTCTTTGTATGCAGATGACATCCTTCTTTTTTTAGGCAATCCACTGCAGTCCATTCCTAACATTTTAACTATTTTTGGCAGTTTTAGCGAGATTTCCGGATATAGAATAAATTGGACAAAGTCGGCACTTCTTCCACTAAATGACGCAATGAGAAACTCAGCAATACCCGCGGGTATACCAGTGGTCAAACAATTTAAGTATTTGGGCATTATGGTTGGTGCTTCATTGCAGTATATAACTAAGACCAACTATGAGGGCATCCTGTCTAAAATTTCTTGTAACTTGGATAATTGGTCATCGCTTCCAAATTCTCTTAGATCGCGCATCTCGATTATCAAAATGAATGTACTCCCTCGAATTAACTTTGTGAGTTCTATGCTGCCCTTGCCTCCCCCTTCTCGGTTTTGGGATAGGCTACAGAGCGTAATTACCAAATTTGTATGGAATGGCAAACGTCCACGTCTTAAACTTTCCACGATGCAACGAGATAGATTCGCGGGTGGACTTGCACTTCCGAATTTTAA